CCCGCCAGGATGCAACTTTACTGTGCCGCCTGTGGTTAGGAGCAGCTTTTACAAAGGCGTACTCCTTTCGCATAGGAATGGCGGATAGCTCCCGATGTGAATCGTGCGACACTGACGAGACAATAGAACATCTACTGTGTTCATGTGAGCGTTTTGCGAGCGAACGCAGCCTTCTACGCGAAACGTTAGAGACACTAGACAGTAGACCTTTTTCCGAAGAGAAGATACTTGGCGCATGGCTCTACGCGTCGCTGGCCAGCAAAGCCACGCGGGCATTGCTAAGTTTTCTAAAGACGACCGGACTACGCGACCGCTTATAAGCGTGCAATGGACAAGGTCACATCTACACACACGTTGCCCTTCACTTCTCTCTCTCTCTCTTCTCCTTTTAATCTCCTCACCCCTTCCCCCAATGCAGGGTAGCAAACCGGACGTGCGTCTGGTTGACCTCCCTGCCTTTCATTTCTTCTCTTCCTCCTCCTCCTCTACACTTCTCGTATTTCTTTTGCACTCCTCTACTCTCTTCAACTTCCGAAAACTTTCAAAACTTTCTCGCAACGTACCCTCATAGCTTGCGCAAAACTCACAAGTTACTACTACAATATCTGAGTTTTCGTTCTTAACCTACTTGCTCAGATAAACATCGAGGGCTGCTCTGTGCGCTACTAACAACCACAGGGGCTAGGCAGTTCTTCGTTATATCTGTCTTTTAACGGGTCCAGGCTACAAAACTCGATACACCTCAAGCTCAAAGCCAGGCACTCACCTTAATACGTACGGTCATGGTACGCTGTTTTCATCCCGCCGAATTCTAGTGCTAGGGCTTTCGGCTGACCTCCGGTCCAGGTCACTCTCTGTCACTGAGTTTCATCCCACCGCGTTCACCAGTTGTTGCGACAAGCGTTGTTGGCACCGGAGATCTGGGATCTAGATGTCGAGGTTGGAGGAGGTTTAACTTCGCAGAGAGGGTTTATTTACAATATTAACATGGAACGGGCTCTCTGGCCCGAAGCTCTACATTGAAAGTGTGGCAGCTTGGGCTAGTTGGTATGACATGATGATAGTTATAGCGCGAGAACAGAACAACGATAAAGAGACAAGAAGGACACGAGCGCTAACTTCCAACTGATTTTATTGCGCAGAGCGCGAAAACATATTGTCACGGGTTCGTGACGTGGCCGAAGACAGGAGACTTCGTGTTGGGATTTAACTGTTTATTTGGGCGAACCTGTGCCCGGTAAACGGAAAGTCCAATTACAGCAGTAGTCTTGCCCTGATATCAGTCTCGGACTGATAGCGGCGAACGAAGCGTCGGCCTTCGATCAACAACTGACAAGCGGCGAAGCGCGTCGGCATTTATACTCTTGCCGTCGAATGTTCCAGCGTTATAGCTGGCGGTGGCGTAGGTTCCTGAAAAATCTGTACCGTTCGCACAGTGGGCGTGATCTTATCGAATTGATCTACTACAGTCCGGAACCTTCTCGAAAACTGCAGGCGCGGTTTGCGCTGAGAATCGTGTGGTGTTTTGGGACGATAACAAAAACTTGGGAAATAGAACGTGGCAATATAGAGGACACAGTAAACCATGTGACAAAAAACCACGTGGCACAAAGAGCAATACACGAGTAAGGAAAAAAACAGAAGAACTGAAAAAGGCAAAAGAAAGTCTATAAGAAGACGAAGCAGAAAAGTAAAAGTAATGTAACTACTTGCGCACACCGAAACGTCAGAGGAATTTTAGTTATTTCTCGGACAGAGACACAGAGGGCTTGCTAATGCATGACACCTGTTCGCGTGCCATCTGGGCGGTCTCGACGATGACTCAGGTGCGCTCATCCCAGTGCCTGTACACCGTCACTGTGTCTTTGAAAAGGGACACACAGTTGCCCTCTGTGCAGTGCTGAGCAAGAAAACGCGAACAGTTGGCAGATGGCACGCGAACAGGTGTCATGCATTAGCAAGCCCTCCGTGTCCCTGTCCGAGAAGGAACTCAGGTTTCTTGAAGGTTTTGCTACGTGCAAGTAGTTATATTACATTTACTTTTTTGTTTCGTTTCCTTATAAACTTTTCTTTACCTTTTTCTGTGCTTTTGTTTCTTCCTTTACTCATGTATTGCTATTTGCGCCACATGGTTTTTTGTCACATGGTTTACTGCCTCCCCTATATGCTTTTGCGCTCTGCGCAATAAACTCAATTGGAAGTTAACGTTCGTGTCCTTCACGTCCTTCTTGGCTCTTCGTCGTCGTTCTGTTCTCACAATATACTTATCGTCTCAATTGAAAGCTTTACATTGAAAAAGGCTGTCTATTGAACAAGCTCTGTGAAGCACACTATGCAGCCCGCGAGGGCTGAGTAAATAAAGTCTCATTTTTGCAGATCTCTAGATCGGGGAATGGGTCCATACAGCATTGTCCAACAACACGTCCCGCAGCACACACGAGTGTCATTATGCCAGCACACACGACCCCAACAAACACACATACAGGAACCAAACACGCGTATGGTTCCGGTGATGCCGCCTCCTCCGATGAATCTTACTTCCAGAAGCGGGGTGAAACGTGTTTATCATCTCCCCACTTGCGCCATCCACCCAAGCTTGGTCGAATGGCGATTGCGCTCTAGGTGCCTCCGAAGGGCCATACCTGGCATCTGGTACTGATTTGAGCGTCGGCAGCTCATCAGTCAGAGATGCACAGCGTGGTGATCGGACGTCCGTAATCGGTGTAAGCTTGGCATTGTGGCTTTTACCGGCTTTTACCACGTGTCGCATCTCTGCGTGGTCCCGAAGGACAGCGGTGTTCCACAGAGGAATTTCTGCCACGCAGTGCCCAGTACATAGAAACAGCAGGACGCCTTGGTGCTGCTCATTATCTCCATAATAATGAGGCGGCTGCCTTTTTTCGGTTCTGGCGGCCGCGGCAACGGGTGGCCTGCCAAACGCAAGAATACCCAATGACATAGTGTTGAATTTATAGAATGTAGGATTCCAGGATTCCACGATTGTGATGAGAATGAAAGTCGGATTTATGTATAGTGACCCAGATTTTTTTTTCGAAAGAGTGTCCTGTTAAGCAAGCATGGTTTGAGAGTGGGATGTTAGGTAACATAATGGTATGCGATTTATGGTTGTTGAAGCGTATTCGGAACGATGTTTCAGTTTGGTCAATATATTGTTCTTGGCAGACGGCGCACACGAGCATGTATATAACGTTAGAGCTATCGCAAATAAAGGAGCCGCGAATTTTAAAGTGTGAGGTTTGACGACGTACTAACGGCTGCCTGAGTTGTTTGCATATGTCACAAACCTTGCAGCATGATTTGTAGCAAGGTGCACAGCCCGATGTTGTGGATTTGATTATTTTTGATGATGTTAACATATGGCGGAGATTATCCAAGCACTGGTAAACTATGCGAGGTGGTTAAGGAAAGATGCTTTTTCAGATGTTCACTTTAAGCAAGGATGTTGTGGTGGCGTTTGAGTTTAGAAAGACCCTTTGGCACTAATGCCGAGTAGGTTAGTACAATATTAGTGCCAGCACACTGTTCAGGCAAATGGTTTCCGCTAGGAATGTCGGCTCTATATGTCTATTAAATTGGTATGCACGGTCTATAGAGTCATTGACCAAGCCCGTCGGATACCATCGTTTGATAAGAGCATTTTAGATTGCTCGCACACAAATAAAAAAATCTTCGCGGTCGGAACACAATCACTTAAAACGGTGAGCCTGACTATAAGGTATACCTGTGTCACAATCTCGCACATGGCTGCTCTGGAAATGGAGAAGTTGGTTTCTATCAGTAGGTATTGGGTATAATTTTGTGAGCGATTTGCCTTCGGGAAGTGTACCAGTGACATGCAGAAAGTTGAGAAAATTTGTTGAATAACTCTACAAAAGCTTCATCGACGGACGAAATTATAAAATCCATCTATATATTTTAAGAGCGTGTCCTCCCCATAAGTTCAATTTAAGCATTTATCATCTGCGATCCGTCTATAAAACGAAGGTCACTCAGTGTTGGTCAGATAGATATTCTTCAGAATGCCCATGAAAATGTTAGCATTAGTAGGACCTATTCGGGGTTCCATTGACGTGGCGCGATCTCAACGTAATGACGATTGTTACATTAAAAGTTATCAGTTCAAGAATAATTTATCAAGTTCAAGAATTGCAGGGTTTCTTTATCGATAGGTCATTCGAAGCAAGAATATTCGTATGCCTTCAGCACTGCAGTAGTTCCATCGGTATGCGGTATGTTAGTAAAAAGCGAGGCGATGTCCAATGTTACAAGTATCGCAATTTGGGGAATGTTAAGGCTTAATATGTCTTGAAGAAAATTATTGGTGCCCTTGACAAATGATGGAAATATCTAGGGAGTGTTTAATTAACGGTTGTAGTGTTTATGGCAGAGATGATCGGTCGGCCCGGGTTACCGTGCGTGCGAATCTTTGAAAGTACATAAAATCTGGGTACAGGACCGAGCGGAATAAAAGCGTTTTTTCCTCTAGGTTTTTTCTCTTGTTAGAGTCATAATCTTATATTCAAGAAGATTATATATATTTATATATGTGTATATATATATATATAAATATATATATATAAGCATAAAGGAGGACAAGCAAGAATAGTTTACGAAGCCCCACTCATGGCATTTCTGGACACCCCAACATGCGTCAGTGAGCCATCATAACAGTCTCCTGCTGACTTCAATTTTATACACGTCACAATGGCGGCAAAAAATGAATTACCTGTTTTTACAGGCTTCTTGTATTTCGTTTAAGTCGACTATGCCTAAAAAATGAAGAAGTTGAAGTTCGCGCTCCTTGAGAAAAACCAGTTTGTTTTTATCATGCTCTTTGTAGCATTACCTACAATCGTCAAACCAATACCAATACGAATATTGCAGTATTCTACTACTCTCAGGCAAATATTGATGTGACATGAAATTATAGTTTTCATTGAATGATCTGATCAAATCAAATACATTTTGTTATGTTACAGGTAGGACAAAATTACCCAGAAGATGCCGTTTGTCACCAGCAAAAACGAATTGTGTGGGCAATCATCGTCTTCGTTTGTGGTTTTACAATTCAACATCAGAAGTTTGTGAACGTCACGATGCGGGAGGATGTTCGCAACTAGTAGGAGGGTTTCTTTTCTGCCCACAATGTATGAGAAGTTGCAACAGTAAGTGCAATTCATAATATGCGTACTCAATGAGGTGACACTGTAGTTTAGTCCATCATGCATGGTGCATCATTCTTTACGGTGCTCAGCTTATGACACGACGGTCGTGGCTTCGATACCGGCCGCAGCTTCTGCATTTTGATAGAGGCGGAAAGGTAGATGCTCGTGTGCTGTGCAACATCAGTGTGTGTTATAGTGTACTGGATGGTTGAAGTTTCATGAGCCCTCCCTTACAGCATCGCTTATCTGGCAAGTCATGGCTTCCTGAAAAGGGCCAAGAAGACAAAGGCGAAGAGTGTTAGCCATTTTAACGGCTCAAAACATAAGATGGCAATGTCATGTTGTTTTGACGCAATACCTCATGTACTGATATTTCAAAGTGATGTGTGTCACAAGTTATTTTTTTTCAAAATCAGGCACTGATTAGTTCGAACAGGAAGTAATACTTATTTCGACAGTAGCTTCAAGTATTGGGCCTACGCCTACAAAATGAACACTTCCACATGCATTCGCCAGCTAATTGGTTCCCTTACATAGTCATAACAAACAACGGCGGATGGTCTAAAGGCATTCTAGAAACACACACGAGGCTCTAACACAATCTGCAATGACGATTCTTGAAACTTCGCGTTGTTGCTTTTACAGAACAGCAGGATGTGAGGTTTCTGCTTACATTTTATTATCATCCATAGCTAAAACTTGGCAGAATTCACGTAGCTTTAGAATCGATGACATGCGAAAAATGTGGAAAGTAAAGACTGTATTGAAATATCTTGACCTATCAAAACGAAACGAAGTGACGCTAAAGATATGTACAAATGTTGTACGCAAAGATATATGTTGAACAGTCGCATGTGTCTTATATAAGCAGTTGTTTATAATGGCAACATCAACATGGGTATTAGCAACTCCAGGAGCGGTGAATATGTGCTCGTGCTCACCAGGATCGTAGACCGAGAAACTGCTAAAAATAGCAGCTTATGTGGGTGCATTTTAAGCACGTTTGACGTTAACGTGACGTGGCGGCTCTATCACAGAAATACATTGCCACAACAACTGATGTTATCACGAAGTATACTTCACCATCAGTTCTGAAACCTAGTGCAGCTCCGCCATGGAATACCGCAGATTTCCACGCAGAATTCAGGAGCTCGATTCCCGCTAAGACTCTAGCATTTACCTTGTTATTTTGTCGGGTAAATGCTGCTGCTGTAAGCTTTCCCCTAATGCCCTCGCATTAGCATTACCAAGGTATAGAAAGTATCACCTGTGGCCCGTACCGCATTATTGTGGCACATATTCGCCCGTTGTATACGGGTGCATTAGATACGTGCGTCTTGTAGCTTTAAGGCTGGTGCACACCGGCGACTGGCAGCGGTCGCGCGACCATTTGAGACTGGCGACCAAAAAGCGACTGATGTTCACACCGGCAGGGGCTGCATGCGAGCGACAGGAAGTCGCGAAAGCGGAGAGTCACGTCCGAATCTCGTTACCAGCGAGAACTCTAGAGACCGGCGCCGATCAGCTGATCACCACCAGCTGAGTGAGCGGAGCAAGCCAGGCGCGCCGCATTTATTGTTTTCGTCCGTTCTCGCACAGCGTTTCCAACAGCGCCAAGTTCGATTCAAGCGAAGGACAAGGCATTATTATGGTGCTGATGCACTGTGCCAAGGTGTTAGCTCTGGCATCACAGATGCCTCCAAAAAGAAAAAAAGCCGGTAGTGGGTGTGACCGTCCTTTCGATCGCGGGAGTTGGCCGGCCATGCAACCCGCCTCCCTCCCGAGCTGCGCTGAGACGACGAGGAGTATTACCGAGAGTAGTACGTATTCAGAAACGCTCTTTGAATTTAAATTGACTTGCCACAGCCTACAATACAGCATAAACGCGCCTCGAACGCGGTGTCTTAAGTCGTTGCCAAGGCATTAAGCACAAACGCGTTCCAAACGTGCTGCATTGAAGGCGGTGACAAATCAAGTTCAAGACAATAAAACGGTTCGAAATACTGTGAAAAGATACTGCACAAATTATTTTCTCTTTACTTTGACGGTTTTTACCTTCTTACGAATACCTCCACGTAAGTTCCCCCGCAGGGGCGCCTGCGCAAGTAGGCGTTTGGTGTGTAGCGACACCACGGACCCGAGCTAACGGGGGAGTTTCTACTCCCTCCCACGCCTAGCCGTGCGTGGCTTTGCCGTGTCCGGGGAAAAGGGGATCCTGGGGGTTGAGCCGACGCTGGTTGATTGGACCTTTAAGGCCCCCTGGCAGAGGCAACACACCCCTTTAACCCCGGCTTCTCGTAGACGGCACCCCTGGGCTGACCCACCCAGGGGAAATCGGCAGTCGCCTTTTCCTATCTCTCTCTGCCTACATCTTCGTCTTTATCTCTCACTATCTAATCTGTCCTGTCTTCTACTCTCTTCTGTTTACTTCCAATTTTCCTGGCGGCAAGGGTTAACCCTGTACAAATAGCCTACCTTGGTCTAGGCGCATTGGGTTATAGTGGCGTTGTACGGCTGGCGTATGCAGTTTTCAGCATCTTTAAACTTGTAGCGTCCCCTCGTTGGGCTCCGTGGTGGGTGGCCGCCAACGCTGCTGAACAAAAATAAGTAAGGCATGCATGGAGCATTCCCCTTAATGTCTGATCGTACCCGCTTAAAGCGGGTACGCAACGATGCAATTTTTGAATTTGTTCCGAACAAAAAAGATAACTTCCCCAAGCACCACATTATCCACTGTGAAAGTACAGAAAAGAAAGCTAGAAGTATTTCACCTTTCCTTGTGTCCAAATGTCTCATAGAAACGCTGGGCGCAGGCTACAAGGCCACAAAGACCACCAGTGGTGACCTGTTACTTGAAATAAAAGATAAAGCACAGTACCAAAGACTACATAAACTCACAGCATTTGGGGATCAGCCTATCACAATCACACCGCATCGAACCATGAACACAGTGAAGGATGTTGTATCAGATATAGATTTGATGAACCTTTCTGATGATGAACTTCTAACAGGCTGGAAAGAGGAAAACGTCATTCAGGTGCAGCGCATCAAAATAAGAAGAGAAAATAAGGAAATCCCAACGAAGCACATCATACTAACTTTCGCATCTAGCACCCTCCCCACTGAAATAGCAACAGGATATCTTAAACTGCCAGTTAGACCATACATACCCAACCCGCGGCGCTGCTTTAAGTGTCAGAGGTTCGGGCACTGCTCCCAGAGCTGCCGAGGACAGATTACCTGCGCGAAATGCGGCACCAAAGGTCATACCGCTGACGATGACTGTCAGCTACAAGTGCACTGCGCAAACTGTGAGGGTGACCATCCTGCATATTCCAGGTCATGCGTGGCCTGGAAAATTGAAAAAGAAATTATTAATACAAAGTTTAAATTGAACATAAGCTTTCGTGAAGCGCGGCAGCGCGTTTCCCCGCATTTTGCTGGGAACACATCGTATGCCGAAGTGGTGCGAGGGGGGTCAGTACCACTTCGGTTTTCGGCAATGCCTTGGACCACGCCCAGCGTGCCGAGGCAAACGCCACAAGCCCCCATGGGGGGAGCAGCCTCGGCTGCCCCAACCTCCTTGAATACAGCCCCACCGAAGGCCCCTGTGAACCTTGGCAGCAGCCAGGGCACCACACAAACTAAAGAGGTCCCCTCGACCTCCAGCCCGGTGGTGTTTAACGCTCCGTCTGTCACGACGAAGCCTACATCGAAAACAACATTATCTGTCGTTTCTCCTGAGGCGATGGACACATCAACTGCACCGGCGCAGACTGCGCCAAACGAGCGGCGGGGTTCCCTCGACCGCTCTAAAAAGACAAAACGGTAATTACAGGGCCTTCTAAAGGCTCTGTAAGATAAGTCACTTCTCTCTTTAGACACCAGCCACACTCATTTCGTACACACAGCACTTCTTTACTCCCATAATGGAGACACAAATTATACAATGGAACGTCAGAGGACTACTTCGAAACCTCGACGATGTCCAAGAACTTCTACACAAACACTCTCCAAAAGTGCTGTGTGTACAGGAAACACACTTGAAATCCAAGAATACAAATTTTTTGCGTCATTATGTTGCCTTCCGAAAGGACAGAGGTGATGCTGTGGCGTCATCTGGTGGTGTTGCCATTATAGTTAATCGAGGAGTAGCATGTAGTCATCTACCACTACTAACATCCCTACAGGCAGTGGCTGTTCGAGCAGTTCTATTGAATAAGCTCGTCACCATCTGCTCTCTATACATACCGCCACAACACCGCTTGGAAAAACATGATTTCCAGTCTTTAATAGATGAGTTACCAGAACCTTGTTTGGTTCTGGGGGACCTGAATGCGCACAGCGGTTTATGGGGTGACTGTCGATGTGATGCACGAGGTCGTCTTATTGAACAATTCCTCTTTTCATCAGGTGCTTGTCTGTTGAATAGAAAAGAGGCAACATATTATAACCTTGCAAACAATACTTACTCCTCCATAGATCTCAGTATCGCATCTCCTTCACTTGTACCATTACTTCAGTGGAAAGTCATAAATAACCCATACGGAAGTGACCATTTTCCTTTAGTTTTGAGTACACCAATAACTTATGAATGTCCTCCACATGTTCCCAAATGGCTGGTGAACAAATCCGACTGGGAACAATTTCAAAAGATTACACAGCTAAGTTGGGCCGACATATGTGGATTAGGCATAGATGAAGCTGTGCAGTACTTCACGGCTTTGTTTACTGACGCAGCAGCCAAGTGCATTCCACAAACATCTGGACTGCCCGGCAAACGACACGTCCCGTGGTGGAACACTGAGTGTCGGAATGCGCGAAAGGAACAGAACAGGGCATGGAGGTTGCTGCGCAACTCGCCGACAGCGGAAAACCTTGAGAGCTTTAAGAAAATAAAATCTCGTGGCAGGAGAACGCGTCGGCAGGCCAGAAGAGAAAGCTGGCACAAGTTTTTATCAGGGATAAATTCATATACACAAGAGGCTAAAGTCTGGGAC